TCTTTCTTTCTTTCTTTCTTTCTTTCTTTCTTTCTTTCTTTCTTTCTTTCTTTCTTCATTCATTCATAACATTTTTATTGTAAAAGACATGTCAAAATAAGGCTGAACATTTTTGAAATACTTTATTATACTTTTCACATTACAAAAACTGCAAAAAATATCATGCAATTATACATTTAGTTACAATAACTGAATGATTTTCATCACATATACGCTATAAATAAAATCATCGCAGAGTCTGTGAGCCTGTTTGCGCTGAGTCGCTTCCTAAAGGCAGAGCAGCTCTCTGGCGCCACCTTGTGGTCGCACGGAGTAAGCACGAGTCAAAGAGCAAAGCAGCGCCTCGCAGGGCTCCTTCTTTCCAAGTCGGGTTACACGTCAGTGTGGAACCTGTACTGGTGCGTGGACGTGTACGCGCGCGTCAGGCGGTTCCCGGATGCTCTGGACAGAAACATGGACCGAGTGGTGGTGGAGGTGCCGATCAACAACGGTGAGATATGTTCCAAAACACGCAACGGGAAGGGTTTATAACTACATCTCCTGCGCGCTGCGCTACGTGTGTGTCTGTGTGAGGAGTGCTGTGCGCATGCTCTGCCTCCTGTGACGCGTTCAAGGCCGCTGCGGGGCTGTGAGCTCCGAGTCTGTGCACCCGGCTTGTGTTTGAGCTGTAGCTGCAGGCCGCTGGCCCTCTGCGGGAGGAATCAGAGCTGYTGCCACTGGAAGCCTCCATCAGGAGTCAGTGCTTCTACACGTAGTGATAACATGTACTTTCACAGGGTTAGACAGGAAGAGATGCACCTCTAACTTTATCCAGATGCAAGCAGGAAACTAGAAAATGTTCTTATTTAAACAACTTAACACATTTTACATGACACAAAATATACAAACATAAATAAATAATCTGTTTCTAACTTCAGGGTTTTCCGTTTCATGCCCTTCCACAACGCCCCGAAAGCGTCAGGTGCGCTTCTCAGCTCGCCATGACATCATCCTCCTGCGAGAGGTCATCGCTCAGAACCCGTTTGGATCCAAAGAGCCAGGTTTTTTTTTATTATTATTACATGGAAACACATCTTTAAGTTGCAGCTCTTGGGGTTTTTAAGGACGTTGCATGTTCTTTCAGGAAGGATATGGGCCCGAGTCGGGGAGATCATCACTGCAGCCCTGCAGGAGGAGAACTTTGAGGTGGACGCCAGGAGGTGCAGGGAGAGGACCATGCTGCTGCTGGACTACTACAAGAAGCAGGACTTCCCCAGCCTGCGCAGGTCGGTCCAGTCGGTCCAAACCTTAAAGCCGTACTCTTTATTTCAAGGCGTATTGTTCACGGTTCTGATCTTGCATGGGTTCAGATTTGCGGTGGTTTTTTTTTTTTTTTTTTTGTCTTACCTCAGGTTTGGGACAGAGAGGTTGTACGCCCAAAAGGAGGATCTGCTCCATGAGGTTCTGGAGCTGGAGGCTGAGAAGGGGCTGGTGGCCAGTGGTGAGGCCACAAAGTACCAGGTGATGCTGCAAAATAAACTGTTTGGCAAAGATTTGGCTAATTTTTCACGTGCGCAGCCCACAGACTCAGCTCTACTGCTCATCCCACAAATGCATGTTCCTTACAAATGTGGCACCATTTAAACGGGACGTTAACAGGCTTTTCGGGTTTAGAATTGTTACAACAAAAAATTCATCTACCAAACACAAATTTCCTTACTTTTTGTGCTGAGTTTATATTTACTGTTAATGAGATGGTCATAAAGCTCTTTTGTATTTTTTTAATTAATTAATTAATTTTTTGTTAGAATTAATTTCGACTGTTTCTTTCAAAGGATGAAGAGCGAAGAAATCGCGTTCTAGAAGAACTAACGCTACCAGAACAGGACAAACCCAACATCACACAGATTCCTGCAGGTCGGAACAGTTTTACTCAAGCTGCAATTTGAAAACCAGATATGAGCGACGTGACGAGTGCCRTTTTAAACACGTTGATTAGAGTCGGGTGTTCCTGACCGTTTGACGAGTTACTACACGTACATGAGTTCAAGCTCCTGGACGGTGTGTGTGTTATTTGTTCTCCTGGTTCCCGCTCGTGATTTTTTTTCTTGTCTTCATGGCAGAAGCAGAAGACGACCGCGAGCAAATGGCCGAGCTCTCGGCGGCGCCCACAGCCAAGCGGCCGTGCCAGTGCTGCTGCCAGACGTACTCGGAGATTCTCAGCTTCCTGGAGAAACGTTCGGAGGCGGAGCAACGGCTTCGGGAGGAGGAGCTTGCACTGCGCAGGGAGGAGCTGGAGATTCAAAGGAGTACGGGATTTTGTTGCTCCTTACCAAACACAGCAAAATGTTGATAAATCAATCGATTTTACAGATATTGAGGGGAAATTTGATGCAGCATCAGCTGAGAGTTGTTCTGAACATTGTGCACATTTTAGTTTTTAACATTTAACCAAATTTAATCAGTTTTTGTAAAGGTAGCTTTAAGTTGTCTAAAGCTGGAGGGGGAACAGGAGCTCAATAGTCCTGGCAGAAGCAGAAGGATAACAGACAGATAGGAGCGCATTATGGGATTGCAGATTGTTGTGCTGTTTTTATTGTGTCATTAATCAAACATAATTTTAATTTCAGGTAAGATCGCTCTGGAGAGAGAACGTCTGGAAGCAGAGAGGACAGAGAGGGAGCGCAGGTTTGAACTGGAGAGCCAGGAGAGGCAGGTGATTTTAGATCTGCTGAAAGAGAAGGTGCTGAAAGGCTGAAAATAAAAAAAAGCCCGCCATCCACCTGCAGCGGACTGTGGACGTCTAAACAGACGGCTGGAAAGAGGAAGGAAAACGGCTAAAACTGGAAGTGAGAAGAAGATCAAACAGAGGAACAGTGAGCTGAAATTTCAAAAATGAGGGGACTAATGCGGGATTGGCCCGTTGATTTTGTCTGTTTGAACTGTTGAACAGAAAAGGAAAAGCTGAGTGCCGGACGCTGGCAGGAAGTATGCGCAGCTGCTTCAGAAGGCTACTCGTGTTTTCATCTGAATAAAGTTTTTTTTTCTTTCTCTCTTTTATCAAATCATCATCCTTGGGAAACTTGTTTCTAAAAGTTCAACTCTTTCCAAGGTCATCATTCATCTAAACTTGCTGTTTTTTTAATTTATCATTGACAAGTGCTGCTTACTAGTGACAAAAGTTTCAGTTTCCACAGCAGCTGGCCTTTTACCATCTTTGATACAATTGTTCACTGTTGCTGATCCAAAAAAATAACCAGAACAAGCTGAGCTTTATTATTAATTGAAAATTATATTTGAAATTAGTATATTATTATATTACTAATTCATACTTAACATTTAAGACAGCCCATAATAGGCTATTGTTTGTGACAAAAACTTAGAAAGTCAATCAAAAACTTAGACAATCAACCAAAATCTTAGACAGTCAACCAAAAACTTAGAAAGTCAACCAAAAACTTAAAGCGTCAACCAAAAGTTTGAGATTCAACCAAAAGGTTAATTTTTTGCAAAAAACGTTTTGATAGTTTTTTTATTTTTATTTTTTGATTGAAATAGTTTTATTTTTGTTTGGTTGATAAAACATTTTTTTTGGTTGAAATTATTTTTTTAAATTGAAACTGCTTTTTTTAGTTTGGTTGAAATTATTATATTTTTGGTTGAAAATATTAATTTTGATTGAATTTATTTTTTGTTTGGTTGAATTTTTTTTTGATTGAAGACGCTTTTTGTTTGATTTAATAATAAAAACACAAATTTACCTCCTTAGCTTACCACATTTTTACCAAAAAAGAGAAGTTGGAAGACTAGTTTTTATCTAGATCTAATAAACATAATCTCCACAAGATGGCAGTAATTAGAAGCTGTAAAAATAGAATCTGCGGAAATAATATCTCAAGAAGAAGAAAAAGGAGCTTTCTGATTGGCTGTTGTGAAAGTCAGTTCCTACTATACATCCAATGAATGTGAGCGCATGTTGTTTTTTTCCCCGACCTCTAAAGAAATAGTTGCCTTTAAATGCCGAGTAAAATTACTCGGACGTCGCTTAATATAGTCTTAGGTAAACGAATTGGTAAAGTATTTTATTTTTCTATCTTTTAGAGTAATTAAAACAACTTTAAAACATTCTGGTTCGTACTTCTGGACGCTTCTGTTCCCGACGACCCCAGTGGGGATTTAGGGAAACACGGCTAGGTTTTCCACGATCTGCTAGCAATTTTCTCATAGTCAGTACTTTTTTTTTCTTCTTCTCCCACTAGTGCTGCTTCAACGTGGAACAAGATTTGCCATCTCTGTTTTAAGTCACTGTTTAGCACACACACAAAAATCCACAGTTCACATTTTCTAAATTTAACCTTCACGACGGTGGTAGTCTGAGCTAAGAACCGCATGAATTTGAAATGAAAATCGTGTCGCCGCTTTTCTAAACAAAAAGGAACACCACAGCCTCCAGAGCAGCGAGCCCAGCATGCCCATCAGACGGTTTGGGGGTCACAGGTCTCTCGTTTCTTGTTCTTCGACCACTAGATTATCGTATGGTTACACGAGGAAAATGAACATTTCAAGAAGTGGCTACCGTGTTTTCACCGCCAACTCCAGCACAGCCTGCACCGAGCTGGCCAAGAAGATCACAGAGTAAGTTAAACTTCTTTAAACATGTGACTGAACCTGCTTTTTCTGGGTTTTATAATAATCGAGATGAGTACAAAGTAATCTGTAAAAGTTATTCCACTCTTTACTTTGTGTAAATCATAAAAAAACAACACTTTGCCACTTAAATCAGAGGTTCTCAACCTGAGGTCCCAGGACCCCCACGGGTCCACGAGGCTTATCTTRGGGGGGTCYTCAAAATTTTTCAATAAATGTTTATTTTAGATTTTATTTGAAAAATGAACATGAGGATCAATGCACTAGTAAAACAAACATACTAAACCAAACAAAAACATAATATTCTCATAAAACTGAGGGGTTAAAATGACAGTAAATTATTTCTAAAATAGCGTGGGATTTATGAGGGGGTCCCTGGAAATGTTTCACACTTGTAAGGGGTCCTCAGACCCAAAATGTTTGAGAACCCCTGACTTAAATCAACGTTGATAGTTTTGTAGATGCCTGTTTAACAGAATGGTTTTGCCTCATCAATTTCAGAAACTTCTGCGTTTTATCAAAATAATTTTTGTGTATTCCTGACTAGGGTTGGGCATAATCGTATCGTCTGCAATTAATCGTCAGAAAAACATTAATAGATTACTTTTTTGGCACTTGACAATTAATACRATTAATGCCACCAGGCAGATTAATTGGATATTTCYCCTGTCAGTCTGCTCGGTGCTCCTCTCTGCTTCAAGTATTACAAACATTTTWAAAAAATAAGTCTGTAAGTTATTTATCAATCAACACAATTTAAAATTTGCTGTAAAGTCTGAAATCTGTAATTATGACAATTTGAAACAGATTTTTATAAGAGCAAATATTTCCCACTAAATTGTTCATGTGACCAGGACATAAGGGTGTCCAGGGACTCCAGGGGATTAATCGTCAAATTAATCGTTATCGGCTAAACACCACAATTAATCGTGATTAATTTTTTTTGCCAATATCGCCCAACCCTATTCCTGACAGGCTTTAKTGGAGCCCTCAAAATGCAACAGATGGTTTGATCAGAAACCTTGATCTTGAAGTTAYGTTTGATTAAATTAGGTTCATCTTGTTTTGATGGGCGCCACCACCCCCATGAGCCCTAACTCAGATAGGATTTGGCAGCACCGATAACCGGCATAAAGATGTCTGTCTTTTATTTCTTGTCTTTCCCAGACGGTTGGGCGTGGAGTTGGGCAAATCAGTGGTTTATCAGGAGTCCAATTCAGGTAACACTAAGCTACTTGTCCAGACAACTGAATTTCCACATTGAAAATGTCCTTTTGTCTTGAGTTTGCATTTGAACCAATAGTCACATTCTTTTGTTTCTTTTTTTTTTTCCAGAGACTAGAGTTGATGTCAAAGAATCTGTTCGTGGACAGGACATCTTTATTATTCAGACCATTCCCAGGTGAGACAGAAGGTTAAGCTTTGTTTTAAACTTTAATGGCCTCCWGCTCCAAACCAAATCACACTACACAAAACCATTATTTTATTCTAACATCCTCAATATTTGGTGTTAAACTCGTCCTATCATATTGATAACGCTGAAGCAATGAGGAGGTAGTGTGATGATATTAGACTTACAGAAGATAAAAACACACACCTGTGCATTTTTATGACTTGCAACTTCAACATAGGCTCTGTATTGTTTCTCAGAGATGTTAACACAGCCATCATGGAGCTGCTSGTCATGGCTTACGCTCTGAAGACCTCATGTGCCAAGAACATCATCGGAGTCATTCCATACTTTCCCTACAGCAAGCAGTGTAAGATGAGGAAGAGAGGATCTATTGTCTGCAAACTGCTTGCTTCTATGCTCGCTAAAGCTGGTGAGAGCCGGGTGCACGTTACAATTCCAAGTCCAGTTTCTGAGCTTGTTGAAAACAAGTTTTTACTTGTGTATTTATACTTTAAATATGTTACAGTTTAATCTGAAGCCATATTTATTAAAAAACTTGGATGTCATGTTTCTGATGTTAAAGGGCTCACTCACATCATCACCATGGACCTTCATCAGAAGGAGATCCAGGGCTTCTTCAACTTCCCTGTTGACAACCTGAGAGCTTCACATTTCCTGATCCAGTACATCCAGGAGCAGGTTTGGTTTCAGTAAACTGTAGATATTGTGTTGTTTTTTTTTTCTTTTTTATTGATGCCCAGGGTTGTGATTTTAGGGTTTAAAATATATATTTTTCTCTCCTCAGATTCCAGATTACAGGAATGCTGTAATTGTTGCAAAGTCTCCTTCAGCTGCTAAGAGGTATTCGGCACTCTTAAAACCATCAAAACTTTCTAATTCTAATAATTCTTAAATATGCATGAGGTAGAAGTAGCTGTGTGAGGCAGGGGTGGGCGTATCGATTTAAGTACTCAATACTATCAATACCAAGATGGTACTTGGGATCGAATCGATACCAGCGTAAGGAATCGATGCTTTGCTTTGTTGTAATTTCCTGCTAGTCTCTGGCTCTGAGCTCTCTCTTCTGTSGCTCTCTTTCTCACTCGCTCGGCACAGGCACGCACAGTGCCCCTCCCTCCCCCTGCCCCTGCTGGGGGAGAGGCTTCAGAATCAGAGCAGCAGTGGTGAGAGAGATATAAAGAAAGCTGTCTGCCATTTAGCACTGGGGGGTCTCCTCCGTGTCAATGTGTCTCCCTCTTACAATAGTGTTATTGCAGGAGTGACTCTTTCAACAATAGGTGATAATCAGGGCACTAACGATCGGCTAATGGTCCACTTTTGCATGTCAACACCAGTTTTCATAGTCAAACTTGTTTGTCAACCATGTGAAGGCACCAATGCACTGATAAAGCTGAAGAACTTTATTGGAGGGGAGATGATGAAAACTAAAAAAAAAAAACTCTTGTGACACACTTGTGTATTCATTTTTTTAGATAATCCATGGCCTTACAATATTAATCTTCAGGGAAAATTCATACATGTCAAGTTGTACGGATTGTCCATAATTTACACAGACTTTCCATCATTTTGCAGGTATATGGATGGACAGAGAAATCTCACTGATTTTTTTTTCAAGTTTAATGGATTTTTTTCAAAACCTCAGTTTCAAATTTATTTAACATGTCAGAGCCTGTAGGACGTTAAAAAAAACAATAACATCAAATGTCCATCTTCGAACCTGTTCTGCTGGTAGACTGCTGGTAGACTAGTAAKAAGTTCTACACTTCCTCAGTTCTCCCTTCCTCCWGCGTGCTTTGATTGCAGCAGGCGCTGTCATCTTCGCGGCCGCCAGCCCCGCCCCCCACTCTCGGAATCGGWATCAAAAAAAGCGATTCTARCACAGTATTTACTTGGTATCGGATCGACACCAAAATTCCCAGTATCGCCCACCTCTAGTGTGAGAATCTCTTTGCCTCAACTGTCTATTGTGTYTGACTCCACTCATATCTTGATGTTGCTGCAACTCTTCAGCTGTGCTTCATTCTGAAGGAGTAACACATGTTGTCGACTACATTATCCCATTATATTCTGTGTCTCAGACAACAATGGAAACTCAACAAACGAGGGCTGGAAAAAATGTTGATGGTCAAAGGCAGTTGCATAAACAAATGGTTTAGTGCTGCRTGGTTGAAATTAGGGCTGCCACGATTAATCGATGACTAATTGATTATAAAAATAATCGATGACTAATTTAATAATCGATTAATCATTTTCTTTTTTTTTTTTTGTCGTTGTTCTTTACTTTGTTTTTCTCTCCAAACTGCTTTGACASCTTCCACTGCCACATCTGCCTTTGTGTCCTTGACACACATGCACAGTAGTGGTAACTGGGGTAGGCCGTGGACGTCACAAGACATTATACAGACAGGCTCTGGTATCATGGCTACCTGACAACRGAGCTCAAAGTGTGGGATCATTTTAAGAAAATGAAAGAGAAACCTGTGTAATATCTGCARRGCAGAACTTGCCTTCCACAGCAATTATTTTTAGTTAGCATRTAGCTAAAATCTAACCATGGTTATATAATAGCAGCTGCATTCTGGCGCAATAAGCTSTRTGTTTTATATTCAATTAACGTATGATCCGTTTAGTCGACTAATCGAAAAAATAATCGGTGATTAATCGATTATAAAAATAATCRTTTGTGGCAGCCCTATTTGAAATGCAAACTTCTCTATTTCTCTTTGGCTCATTGTTTTCTTATTATGTTGTCAGTTTCTCTGACCCCGGTCTGTCTGTCTGTCTCAGAGCTCAGTCTTATGCAGAGAGGCTGCGACTCGGACTGGCTGTGATTCATGGGGAGGCACAACATTCAGAGTCAGACATGGCAGACGGTCGACAGTCTCCCCCTCTGTCCCGAGTCTCCACAGGACATCCTGGCCTGCAGCTGCCATGTAAGACAAACGGTGTAGCATGTCTTCAACAGATTCGTAGGGACTAGAAGTTTAGGGCATGCTCCAACACACCTGATTTAAAGGATTGGGTGATTAATAGGCTTTTGCAGAACTTGAAGAGGTATTGAATCAGGTATGGAGCAGGAAAACAAGTAAACCATGCAGGGYAGTGGCTCCCTAAGACCRAYATATTGTGTCATGAACCAGAGTGTAGCTGTGTTAATTTCCTGCATTGTCAAAAAATATGCAACAAACACTGAAGCTGTTGACTTGTCCAGCTGTGAAATGCTGCAGGTAGACTCTGACATCATCTCACCTACACCATCTGCTCCTCCTCTAATGGAGTGCATCTCCTCCTGTGTTCTCCCTCTCGGAACAGAACTGGGTTGTACATGTTTCTATTCTAGCTCCTGTTGAGTCGCACATTTTCCAGACTGTTTATTTCAGTTCAGTTTATTTATAAAGAACCAACAAAAGCTGTCTCAAGGCAGCATCAGACAGTTATATCCTGWTGAATTACAATACAATCACTTACAGAACATACGCAGGCACCACTTCTCCGTTTTATATTTATTAGTTTATTTTAAACGGGCTTTTCCTCTGAATTTCCCTTTTTTTAATATGGAGTGTTTTGTGTAGCACCATTATATATAACCAAATTTAAAATCCTTTCAAATTCAAGACTGAAAGGCAATAACCTGGAAATAATACCAAGTGGTGAATAATGTCTTCAGTCCACTGTAGAGCTCTATTTATACATGTCTCTGCTTACTGAGGTCGTCTTAAATAGTGTTGAAATGTGACGTATTTCTCACACTTTTCACACGATACTGCTGAGCTAAAAAAATTAATTGATGTCACATCTCATTTTTATTTGTTTTTATRAGAACTACTTAGTTAACTTACTTAAAAAGCTTTTCTTTATTGTCAGAATTGTTTTTTTTTTACATGTACTTAATGTAGAAAAAAATTTGTCAAGCAATTACAACTTGTTTATTTTTGTGGGTGTGTTCAAAGCTAAACTTTCTAAAAAGAAGCAAACAGCAGAGCATTCACCACAAGTGGGGATTTCATATTTTATTTCCAGCGGCTGCAGATTTAGCTGAACTCTTAAACCCTGCAGTGGTTTTTTTTAATCTAATAATGTGCACTTATTTCCTGGTTTATAAAAAGCGTGTGTGTTTTCCAGTGTTGATGGCGAAGGAGAAACCACCCATCTCTGTTGTCGGAGATGTTGGAGGCAGAATCGCCATCATTGTTGTAAGTTTTTGTTCTTTTAAAGGAACACATATCACCCATTTCCATTTGAGTCAGAATTTAAAACAGCATCATTTTATGTTTTCAAATTAGGGAGTCATTTTGGTTTATTAATGTCAGGCTTTTATTTAAACCATCAAGTACTTTTCTAGCAGTCCCAGAATATTGTTTCCTCCAATTTCTTACTCTCAAACCTTGCTTTTTTYCCCCCTTTATCAGGATGACATCATAGACGACGTGGAGGACTTTGTCGCAGCAGCAGAGATCCTGAAGGAGAGGGGAGCCTATAAGATCTACGTCATGGCTACACATGGACTACTGTCTGCTGAGGCACCCACACTAATAGAAGAGTCTGCAATTGATGAGGTACAGAAGTCACACAGTGGTGAGAGTTTCACTTTTAATGTCTTTAAAGGTGTTTCTGTCACTGAAGATGTATAATAGTACCTATGATAGAAAAATAGTTATTATAAATAGTTATATTTTAAATATGTGGTGATTCAATGTTATTCAACCAAACTGATGTTTAATAGTAAAGATTAAAGTAGAAAAAAAATACAAGACATGGTTCAAGTTTTTTAAATTTATTATTTTAACAGTTTTTCAAAAGTTTTTCGCTTCTGTTTGGTGTCTGCAGGTGGTGGTGACCAACACCGTGCCTCACGAGGTGCAGAAGCTGCAGTGTCCAAAGATCCGAACCGTAGATGTGAGTCTGGTCCTGGCTGAGGCCATCCGGCGCATCCACAACGGAGAGTCCATGTCCTATCTGTTCCGTAACATCACTGTGGACGACTGAGGACACGCAGGAGACATTTACATTCCTTCATACACACACAAAGCAAACATTTCCACACAAGCAGATTGAAAACTAAATGGTTTGAATCTGTTGTTCCTGTTTGTGCAGCTGATAGAACATGTTCTGTGTGAGCCATGAGCAGAAAACTGTCAACTGTTTCTGCTTTTTACCACAAGAAAACAAAAATAGCACATGTATCTCATGCAGCCTTTATACTCTGCAGAATACCATGAATAAAGCTGTTGCTCCTAGCTGATAGTTTTTTTTTTTCTTAAACCAGTAACACAGCATCACAAGTGGGTTTTATCAAGAGTAAAAAATAAGTTTTGGAGAACAAGCGTGGCTAAATTTCAGGAACTAGAAACCGTTCCGTTCAGCAGCGGCTTTGCACCTGAGCCTGAAAACTTTCAGTCGCACTTTCAGTCACAAGCAGGAAGAAGATGTGAACTAGTGTACAGCTGCACCTGCGTGATTCTCATCCTTATAAAGCTGTAAATGTGTGACATTCAGAAGGGTTTTTTAAAACTTAATTTATGATCTCAGTATATTCTACAGCACAGCACTCATCAGGAAGTGTGAAACTCAGAATGCAGATCAAAAAGATCAGATTTTAGATGTGTGAACTAACTAAAAGATGTGTGCGTTGTGCTGTCTTTAGATTGTATTTTGGGTGATAAGTTTCAGTATTTATTTCTTTTTTTTTTTAGTTCTGATAAAGCAACTGTAAAACGTAAAGCAGTCTAATGGCAAATTAGGAAAAATTCTACAGCCCCAGAAGCAAAAGAAATTGTCAAACTGGCTTTAGAGTTTAAAAAAAGCAGATTACATAAATAGCTTCATGTGCAGATGATGTTTAGATGCTGTGTTTCTGTCTCAAACCCTGAACTTGTTCCAAACGCCTCAGGTAGAGAAGAATCTGCTGAGGAGCTTTGACCAAGTCCAGGGTCAGAGACATCAGCTGTGACCAAATCCCCTCGCACCATCACTGCAGTTAAAGTCCTCACGACGCTAAGTAAGAGGTAATTTGATGAATCAATGCATGAAAACCCTAAACGTACCTGAGCCCTGAAAGAGAGAAGGGTGTAAGAAGACGACAAATTGACACACCTGCGTGACTGAAGCTGGCTGGTCTGCTTCCCTGCACCACTGAGCGAGAGCACAGAGCGGAAGAATGTTTAAATGTGGACTGAAAGAGGAACTGCTCGCAAAACGTTAACCCGGCCACTTCCTCTTATTAAAACAGGAAACTTTGTGCAGACTGATCTGACGGACAGGAGAGGGGGGCGGACCTGGACCTGAGCGCTACGACAGCCGCCTCTCCTGGGTTGTGTTCAGAGGAACTATGCAGCTCAGTTTCAGGAACTGCAGACGAGCCCATTTCAGCTTCACTGAAGAACAGCTTGATTTTTCTGTATCCAAAGAGAAGGTCGTTCGTTTTTTTTTTTTTTTTGTTTGTTTTTTTCTGATCAACTGCTGTTCTCTCAGGTCAGGAACCAACCAGTTTACACATCAACTCGTGTCACGCCTCGCCTCATCCGAACATTGAACCATGTCAAAAAATTACAAGTTTAGTTGTGTACAAATGCTTTTCGACTGGAAATAAACTCTTAAGCTGCTGCGTAAATTTAAAGGTTCTTAAATCTCGTCAAACCAGTTTGGACCAAATCAGCAAATCTATCTTTAGGCCTGTAATAATAGAAGCAATAAAGGCATTAATTTAGTTATGAACAATAAGTTGAATCACTTTGACCTACTTCAGTGTGGAACCTGTTGCAGTTGGTCATGTTTACTATTAAATGAAGTGTTTTATGTCACCAGTAGGTGGCAGCAGAGATCTTTAATGAAATTTGATTTGTCGGTGCACAGAAACAACTAATGAATCACTTTCATAAACAAAATGAGGATCATCAAACTAACCGTGAACATCGTGGAGCTATTTTTCTGCAGCAGACTACATTCAGGCTTTTTTTTGATTATTTTCTTAGCTGTATGAAATAAATGTAGCTATAGCTGAAGAAATTGATAAAATGATCAATGCACGCAGCATTTTCACAAATCCATTACATAAAAATGTAGGTTTTTGAAAATTTTAATTGCGCTAACGTCAGTTGTTACAATTTTTGACCCTGTTTTCTTTCAGGTTCATAACGTTCAAAAACTTAAATGAAAATTAATTTATGTAAAGAAACTCTTTTAGATGAAGGATTTACAGTGAAATTTATATAACTTAAGAAAAGAAAACAGCAAACTTTTGGAAAATATAATAATTTGTCTTTAAAACATTCTAATTTTTTATACTAATGACATGAAATTTAATGATCAATGTGTCATTTTCCTGCAAATTATTTATTGTTATCTGCATTTAAATGGGAAATGTTGCAGTTTCTCCATCTAGGTACAAAAAAGGACAATTTCACACATTTTGTTCTTTTGTCTTTTATTCCACATTTACATTAGGAGTTCATGTTCAGTACATTTGTAGATAAATGGTTACATAAAAAAAAACTGTTCAGAGATGTAATTAAAAAAATTACATTAGAAAAACAACCTAAAAACACAACTTTGAGTTACAAATTGATAAGTGCATTTATGTTTTATTCAAACAGTATCACAAAAAATATAAAATAACAATTTAAAAAAACTGTAAACATTTGATGTGCTACATGTGAATTACTAAATTACAAAAAAAAAAACCACAAAAAATACAAGTTTAGCACAACATCTGACAAGTACTGTGTAAATACTCTGGCAGGAAACAATCTGATGGCAACAGCTTTAATTTCTTTAAATAATATATATATTTTTTTAATTCAAAGCTATAAATTGATCTAAACACCAGCAGCGTGTCACCAACGAAGCGGCAACAAAATTACAGTCGATTTCACATCAGAGTTATTTCACTTCATACATCATCATGTGATCTTAGTTTCCTCTCAGCTGAGAACCAAACAGTGTCTTTGTTGGTCCAGGATCACAGTCGGGTTATTTACACCAGCAATGACCGAAGCCTTGGTTTGTTTGTTTTTTCCTCTCTGTCCCACAGAACTGAGTTGTACCACATTTCTCCCTCATCCCTCTCCTCTGCCTCGCATTACGACAAGAGGCAGCTGTTGGTTTTGTTCATAGGTGGCCGAAAGTCGGTTCCTTTCGGAAAGGTCTCCCTGCGTCTGCGTAGCGCCGGGCTCAGGCGACTCGGCAGGTTGACCTGCTGCAGGAGCTCCTTGAACACCTCCACCACGTTGGCGTTCTCCTTCGCCGACGCCTCCAGGTAACTGTTGTTCCAATCCATCTCCACGGTCGCCAGCACGTCCTCTGCGGACACCTGGCGCTCGTCTTCTCGGTCCACCTTGTTCCCCACCACCACGATGGGCGTGTACTTGTCCTCCTTGATCTCCAGAATCTCGTCTCGAAGGCTCTTGACCGCCTCCAAGGACTCGGGGTCGTCCACGGCGTACACCAGAGCGAAGGCGTCGCTGTTCTGGATGGAGAGCTTGCGCATGGCGGGGAAGGAGTAGCTGCCGCTGGTGTCCAGGATCTCCACGGTGACTTTGACCCCACCGATGTCGTACTCCTTGCTGTGCAGCTCCTCCACGGTACGCCGGTGTTTTGGCTCGAAGGTATCCTGGAGAAAGCGTCTGATCAGAGCTGTCTTGCCGACCCCTGCGGACCCCAGAAACACAACTCGCACCTGMGTCTTCTCCTTCACCTCTAAGGACATGATGCTGGAGTCTTTTGGACCAAACTGTGGAAAAAAGTCACAACAGGATCCAAGTGTACTAATCTCTCTGCTCTCACAACCCTTTACTCACAATTCTAAGAAAAAATCTATTCTTTTAACARTTCASCTAATTTCAATCTTTCCACAGATTTGTCTTGTGTGTTCAGCTGCTGCAAGTTTCTTTAATATTTGTCGTTCCACACTCAGCCTTTTATTCCTGTTTGTGAGAGCTCCTACCCCTCGCTGTGGGTGCAGCCAATCGGAAGAAGATAGCCTGTTGGAGTCTTAACGTGCAGGCAGCCAATGATGGCGGAGCATTCAAATCAGTGTATGTGTGTGTGTGTGTGTTAGAACCACCTCAGGATGAGAGGAGGTGATCTGAGACTGGATGTTCTGCAAGAATTGCAGAGAAAATGCGGTTTGAGCTGAGTCCTGATTACAATTTCAGACAAAGAGWACCTCCWGGGAAAGGCATCTTTTGTCTGACTGTTCTCGCTGCAGAGGAAAGCAGACAGATATGAATATGAAGATACTCAGAGAGGCTTAGGGATGATTCACAGTGTTGCACAGCCTCTCTGCATAAGACAAAATCAACCCACTGAATAAATGTGGTTCTTCAAGCTTTGACAWATTCTACAGCAAGTAAAGAATCTGATGTGACGCCAACGATTTAGAATAAAATAGAATGGAAAGATACTTCACTGGTTCCYCTGAAGTTCAAAACACTCATTTAAAAAAAAAACAACAGTAACCAATAATTACAAATTAAGACATGGGTTGTGGATTGATGGCATAGTTTTTGCACTGTCCATGCTTTGTTTGCATCTCCTCTTAAATGACCATGGTCATATCATGTCCTTCATACATTACCAGTCTCTGTGCCGTATTGTTAACAAGTTGAACAAATATATAACCAATGAGTAACTTATCCATAACTTGTCCCTGTTTTATGCATGACTTATGTATGCCCTTAGCAAAAAGTAATATATGCAAGTATCCAAAAAGTATACTAATTTTAAACTAAAAATAAAAGAGTATACTTCCAGTTTGCGTTTTATGTACTTTTATGAGAAATACTAAACCAAGTTTATCTTACACTATACTAAAAGTATACGAAAAGTTTACTTAGTCTATACTATGTTTAAACTTTTGGTCAAGATCAACTTTAGCAATAAACTGAAAGTACATTTTTCACACAGACTGATTTATTTGTAGTATATTTCAAGATCAAACTAAAAGTATACTTAGATTAATTTCAGTATACTTCTAAGTATGCTTTCATWAAATAATTGTGGGCCAGTTTAATCCTAGAAGTATACTTGTTAGACATCATAACAGTACTTTAAGTATACTTTTATTAACAAAAAAAGTCCCAATTTGGTACGAACAAGTATTAAATCAGTATACTTTCTAGTACATTACAAGCACATGGTGCCTAGCATACTTGATATACTTAAACTTATACTGAAGTATTAAAATGAACTTCAAGTATACTACTTTTTACTAAGGGTGACAGTGTTTTTGAGAGCTTATGAGCAGCATTAGTGTAACTTGTGCCAAACGTATGCATTGTATGTTGCAGCATATTGCAATGAGGTTTGCTGTCACACAATGACGTATAACAGAGGGTCTTCAACTGTGTTCCTTGTGACCTGCTGTCCTGCAAGATGTTTTCCTGCTTCAACACATCTGACTGAACGGAATGACAGACTTCTTCTAAACTTGAGGAAATTCTTAGCAGGTAATTTAATTATTTGAATCAGAAGCAGGGAAATGGCTAAAACATGCAGAGGGTCACAAAGAACAAGGTTGAAGACCTCTGACACAACATCAAAAATAACCTCTTTACAAAAAGTACACAAGTTTTCAGACAAGAAACATGATCAAGATACTGTTCAATGAAGAGTTTGTGCTTCAAAGTGCAGCCTTTGCTTTCAGAGTTGATTGAAAAGCAGTTTCATGGACAGATGCAGGTTGCTACTTCATTATGTCCCACCACTTAGGGCAGGTACGTTGTCTGGAGTTGGTTTCAAGTGTGGTATTTGCATCTGAAAGCTCTTTCTGTGACCCTGCAAATGAGCTAGCTCTCAGTGTAAGTGAAACAGGCCATCGTTAGTTTGCAAAAATGAAAACCAGTCCAGCTCTGCAGCATGAAAAGTTATAAACCTTTAGAGATGAAAATATTGCTCGATGATTGAAATATCCTTTTCATGTGAACGAAAACCACTTTACAACATCAAAAAGATYATTTTATTTCTTTTGGGACTAGGAGAGCCCACAGAGATAAATACGTTTCTATTTATTATTAAAACACAAAGAAAGAAATGTGCTCAGGAATAAAAAGAAAAAAGTAGCTCCTGTGATGCTGCTGAAATGTTTTGACCCAACGTTTGTGACATTTTATTGGGGCAGAATGTCGATCAGTCACACATGGCACTGCAGGACTCTGAATCAGACTAAACGTCCTTGGTGCCCAATTAGACGTGATGCACTGGCTGCAACAGTCTGCCACAGAATCCTGCCTGCCATCGGTTTGTCAGAGTTCTTTCCGGAGAAGCAAGTCTCACTCATGATCCTCCTAAATTTCCCTTGAGAGAGGCGTTGTCTCACAGACTGGCATTCTACCCGCCTGGTTTGGTTACCCAGCAGTGTGAAACCTCAACGAGCCTCGAGGATAAAGCAACACCTCTCCATCATCCCACCAGCTCAGACTTTGAGTTTCCCCTGGGTACCACTGTTCCTGAGTAGGACAGCAGAGCAGAACTGAGCATCCTGGGAATAATTGTTGTGCACAACATCAGGGCAGGACTGTTATTAAATACATTAAACTGATGTTCAAATGGACTATAGCTGTTAGTCACTACAGTATAATATAATAGTATGTTATTTATGATACATATCACTGTTAATGCTTTATAACTTATACTGCTGTTTACTGGTTTGCTGCATTCTGCTCAGCAACATTTCACTGTAAAGACAAGAAAACTGAATCAAATCTAATTTACGTGTACAGTGTAGAGAACATCACACATCTCCGATTTTCATTTTTTATTCTTGGAATCAGCTTTTTTTTATTAGTCTGACACCTGATGGTGTCACAGACTCCTTCTCTTTTCAGTTGTGTTGTTGAGATATCTGAATCCCACTTCTTCATCTTGAGCCATCTAAAGATATCTCTGCTTCAGCTACATCAAGCGCTCCTCCTGTCGCCTCCACCTTAGAGGAGCTCCGTGATGCAGCGTCAGGAACAAAGGCTCGTCCCTGCTGAGTCGTCATCTCTACCTGGTGAGGTACGGAGAGAGTGAGTTCACAAAGGTCCATTTCAAGTTSATAACAGCTTCATGTCTGTGTTTTTGTTTATTTCTAARTTTTTAYAGTACTTCTCTACTTCTTGTTAACAGCTTTGAATTGGTTGTGTATGTAAACTGGCAACTGCTTACAGGGAGCAAACTCTTGCCTGGGGCACCTAATTAGTTAGGAACGGGACTGATTGTGGGAGTAAGAGCAGTAAAAATTAGACAGCTCAAAAGTCACAAAACTAATGAGATTGTTAAAGGGGAAAAAGGGGGGATCTGGACCTGGTAAATCTGGAGAGAAATGATAAGTCTCAGGTAATCATTTGAATACTTTGTAATTCACAGCCAGGAAGTTAGCCTGGCCCTTGCCTTCCTACGCASTTGCACTCAATTCTAGTTTCTCTTCACTGCTCCGTATGGCATTTCTCTCAGACAAGGATTTCTTCGGGAGAATTTTTGTCCGGAGGAGTTTAAGTATCTGGGGATCTTGTTCACGAATGGGGGAAGAAGGGAGCGGGAGATCGACAGGCGGATTGGCGCAGCRTCTGCTGTAAAGCGGGCGCTGTACCGTTCCGTCGTGGAGAAGAGAGAGCTGAGTCAGAAAGCGAAGCTCTCGATTTACCGGTCGATCTACGTTCCTACCCTCATCTATGGTCATGAGCTTTGGGTCATGACCGAAAGAACGAGGTCCCGGATACAAGCGGCCGAAATGGGTTTCCTCCGCAGGGTGGCTGGACTCTCCCTTAGAGATAGGGTGAGAAGCTCGGTCATCCGGGAGGGACTCAGAGTAGAGCCGCTGCTCCTCCACGTCGAGAGGAGCCAGTTGAGGTGCTTCGGGCATCTGGTAAGGATGCCTCCTGGACACCTCCCTGGTGAGGTGTTCCGGGCACGTCCCACTGGGAGGAGGCCCCGAGGAAGACCCAGGACACGCTGGAGGGACTATGTCTCTCGGCTGGCCTGGGAACGCCTTGGRGTTCCCCCGGAGGAGCTGGAAGAAGTGGCTGGGGAGAGGGAGGTCTGGGCCTCCCTTCTGGAGCTGCTGCCCCCGCGACCCGACCCCGGATAGACGGAAGAAAATGGATGGATGGATCAATGGATGAATTTTTGTCCGGGCCAATCAGAGAACAAAATGTTGATTTTCTGCGCAGTGTCTGCTTGTAGTTTATTTTACCTGGGCCAATCAGCAAACAGAAGGAGAAGTTTTGAACGTTAATTTTCTGCGCAGTGTCTGCTAGTTATTTTAGCATACRRCAGTGGAGGAAGTGAATGAAGCCAGTCCGTGTTGATAAGGCTTCCAAATTAAATTAAATTTGTCTGACAAAGCAGCAGCTCTCATTTACAGCCATCTCATTCGGCTCGTTATATTTCTCCTCTCAGTAGGGTTGTTTACAGCGCACGCGATTTCCGGTTAGCTTCTGAGCTTAGCCCCCTTCACAGCGACATATGTCACGGCCAACCGATCCAATCATTTTAAACTTCAGCAGTGGCCACGCCTCCAGCAAGAATAACTTCTCTATAGCCGAGAGTCCAGACCCTCGTACGAAACAAAGTGGAGGACAAGGGTCCGGTTTTTATTAGGCTACCAGGAAGTAGTTAGGCTTATGGTGTCGGTCTTTCTCTTTCAGGCTTTGGAGGCGTGGAGGACTCTGGTGTTCCTGGACCACATGAAGRTGAGAAGGTTAAGATGAAACCAGGATGTTGACAACAATCAATCAGTCGAGAAGATGAAGTTGAGTTGTTCCAAGCATGGATTAATGAGAACCACTCACACAAGCTGCACACAAGGTAGGGATCCGATGGCCACAGATGTGGATGACTGAGAGCACCTGTTGCTCCTTAACTGTGGAGAGATGATTATTTAAAAAAGAAACCTAGAAACTGAATCCTCACAGAATTAATACCATGTTTATTTTTAGCCCCACCAGCCTTTTTTTCCCTGTACTTACTCTTGTAACTGCTTTATCTGTGTCGTGACTCCACTGTACCAATGT